GTTCCCAATAAGGGTGTGAGCTACCTCGGACCGATGGAAGGGGTTGAACCTTCTCTCAACTGTAGGGACAGAGGAGACTTCCGGAGCGATCGGTGGGGACCGCTGGTGACAGACAGCGGGACAGAGTAGTTTCTCTAGGAAGAGCCAGTGGTGGTCTCTGGGAAGAGAGGGAAAGGGAAAAGAGTGAGAGACGAGGGGGGAGGCGAGGTGTGCACAGCGCACCGATCCTCAGCCCTGTCGACGCAGAACCAGCCTGACGTGGCGCAGTCTGCGCTGGCGTGATGACGCGCACAGCATCGGTACGGCCGGGGCTTTATCTCCCCGGGCGTGAGAGGACAAGACCATATGCCGGGCAGTTATGTCCGGGCGGGTGTAGTATGTGCGGTAGCCGGTCATGCGCATACAGTGACATACATGCGCATGCGGACCGCACGGAAAGATCCGCAGAACCAGCGGAGGAACAGTTAGACAGAGGACAGAGGGCCTCAAGTGGAACCTACATGGCAGACAGACCAGTGACTCACACTAATGCGAGAAACAACAACAACAACAACTACAAATCGACTACAGCAGCAGCATCACCCCCCTTGTCCCGCATGTAACCAAATGAATATTTGTCCACTACAGCTTACTGCTGCTGTCTGAAGTGCTGTCTGTACAATAATAACACCATGGTGCATGGTACACAAGCTCGGGGCATGCAGCTGCTGTCTGAAGTGCTGTCAGAATTGAGTCCGTGGACATACAACGAAGAAGAACACCCAACCAAAGAAAGCCATCATTGCAATTGACAATCACCCGAATCTATCCAGATCATCTGTGTTAGGCACAGCAGTGTTATCATCGACACTGGCTAAGAATCGTTCCACATTGAAGGGGTCTTCCACGATGCAGGTTCGCGCAATCTCTGCCGCGTCTCTCTACAAAACCAGGGACGTCTTCAGGGAAAAAACGGAAAAATAATTGACAACACAAGAGATGTTTGTCCGTGCGCCACGGTTCGATGCCGTCCGCCTGCTCCGGTTCCTTCCGCTGCTCCGGTGCCGCTGTGGCCAGTCCTAGCACGACCAAACTCGACCCGCTCCACTTCGTACACGCTCTCGTTGCTGTCCATCCCAGTCGGTTCCTCGCATTCTCCCTCGTTGCACTTAGGGTTCTTGGGCTAGAAATTCTCGCGCCGAAGGGTCAACCAGCCCAATCAGCTCGTCACCACCTGTCCCCTCCTCGTTTGATGGCAAAACCAGGTTACTGAGACAGTACAGCTCCCTCTAGCAAACCTAGGGCCGTGTACATAGTGCCCGTTCACCTTTCTGATGACGTCTGCCTCCGCGCACAAGGATGAGATGGGCATTGCTGCCTACACCGACGGCCTGGAGGCCCGCGCATCTGCACCTTTGTACGTGACGCACCAGTGCCGACCCAACTTAACCACTACGCACGCCTCGCGGCGGGAGAAGGTATCGGTCCCCTGAGGGTGAGTCTAGCCCTGCTCGCTAGAAAGACCCCCCCCATCGCTATGGGTCATGCCTACGCAAAACCTTGCTGAGGCAGCTAGGGGAAGAAAGGGATAAAGTGCCGGTAAATTTCTCGTCACTGACACAGGCCTGAATAGTGCCGGTTTTCCACTATTCAGGGCTGCCCGCTATAGTGCCGGTTCAGGCACTATCGAATATCGAATTCCTCAATAGTGGCAGTTCACACCCCACACTCAGCCTTTTTTCGCCTCAAGCCTTCCACGCCAAAGGGATTCGGAGATTCGGAGACGTTTTCCCTTCGAGCTACAAGTATACCTCGGTTTCTCCCGGTACGCGTGACGTCTTCAAATGTCACGGTTTACGGTTTACCGATCGACTAGGTTCCACCAATAGGCTGGGATTTCAGTCGGGAGGCGAGCGATTCAGACAGCAGTACGTATTATCCTATCTGCAGATCCCCCAAGGCGGCAAAATGCATGTGGCACCATTCACCACTCTTGACAGCAACAGCAGCGGGCCGTCTACTCGGTAGTGCATCAAGGAGGAAAGAGGGGCTTGCGGTGGATGTGCTACTTGACCTTGCATCGGTTGGTTGTGGCTTCGATGTGCACTATGCCTGCATCTGCTCCTTGGTAGCACAACCAAGCTTCGCCCCCGTCACGATCACCCCGCAACATTTTAGTGCAACGCCAGGATGGGTAGGACAGGCGCTGCGAGGAACAGCAGGTAGAGCTGCAGAGGTGCTCTGACTTAACTACGAATCATTGACGAAGATAGGAAGGATAACGTGGGTGTGGAAGCGCCAGCAGGGCTCAGCATGACTTCGATTTCTTAGCCGGGAGCCGAGGGATCGATACTGCAGCCCAAGGGAGACCGTTGCTGCGGAGCGAATTCGGTTGGTCCTTGGTTTCGACACCGACAAGGTACGGAGTGCAGCAGCAGTGGCAGTGTAGAGCAGTAGTCTCGGGTAGTCTCGTACTGTATGCACATTACAATGTCGAAAATGAAGTTAATGGCGTCAATTCCGCATGCCATCCCAGGTCCAATTGAGAATATAAAACCATCAGGCACAACCCGGTACAGCAGTTTTCAAGTCTAACACCCGAGTCCCTAAATTCAGGACAGCAGTGGGGGGACCTGTTTAGTGCGTATGCACTAAACGAGGCACCCGGCATCAATGCGATTAGTGCCAAAACGGCACTATTGAGGACTGGCCAATCCCTCATTAGTGCCGGTTTGGCACTGTTGGCTATTGATGCCGTGTTTGATTTCATGGTGTGGCGCTCGCCGCTCACGCTTGCGGGGCCAACAGAGTACGAAAAGGATCGACATTGGGGCATACTCTTATGTTTTGCATGCCTTAGCGGTTAGACCATTGACCACGCGTCCTCGAGAGGACGGAGCATTGTTCCCACAGGACCGATCACCGATGGTCAATCGTTCCTTTCTGCTTTGCCAAAGGTGGCTCAAAAATGTCTTTGCTAGTCTGTCTATCCTAACGATATCCCTTCCCGCCTTTTCAACCCACCTCCTATGCCCCACTACAGCTACCGTCCTCTCCTCTCTATTCCATGCCTCAAACATCTCCCTGTACGTCCCATCTATTTTTCCCAGCTCAGTCACGTACACGTCCCTCTCCTTCTTGTACAACGGACATTCCGCTAGTACATGAACACGGTCTTCGCATTCGAAGCCGCAATCACATTTGAACTCGTCGTCTTCCTCGTCTACCGTCCTATGTCTTCGACGTTCTCGAAGGCCGATGTCCCCGGTCCTGAATTTGACCTTAAGCTTTGTTCCTGCATCCATTGGTCCATGTAGGTAGTCCTTGAACCCTATTCCTTCCTTCAACATTCCGTACACTTCTAGACCCTCCTTATCCTTGGATTCTTTCCTCAGATTCTGTTCTTCTCTCTCGGCACAAGCAACAGATAT